GGATGTGGCAGTTCTTCACTTTTGTACAGCCATTGTTGGCACAGCTGTGATAAACCAAGGGCAGTTTTCCCAGCAGTCCAAGTCAAAGAGCACTGGTGTAGGCTCCTTGTCACATGGCCAGCCCCATGGGGTCATGTCTCAGGTCATCATTGAGGTGACCATTCGTTCATCTGGAGGCCCGAGCTGCGGGATGCAGATAGATAGGGCAGGACTCACTTTTAGGCTTTTCGTTTCTAATGCCGTCTCCAAGAATCAATGTTCACAGCCTTCAATAGTATTGAAGCCCTTTTTAAAATGTAGAATTAAATATAAATGGGCAATAGCATTCCTAGCAGGATTAAGTGCCAATGACTGCCAAGAAATATTTGTTGATTCTATGGATGGGGCAGTAATTAGCTTCCACCTATGTTTGGGACAGAGAGTGAGCTCTATCAGCTAAAGCATCTCTTCCGCAAAGAGAATAGAGGGAACTGAGTTGGTATTTACGGGCCATCAGGCTGGATTCTTGGCTTTGTAAGCACAAGGCAGAAGGAGGGATCCAAGTCACTTTTGAGCTATCACAGTGTGCTTCAATTAACTGATCAAGGCTGGGAGGGGAGATATTACACATTTCTGTCCTTATCTTGGAGAATACTGGTCTGCAGTCTTTGCGAAGCCTTTGTTCCTTCCTCTAATTTATAGCCAGAGTGTCTGTGAGCCCTAATAAATCTTCCATCTGCAGTCAGAATAGCCAACTAAGGTCCAAGCTGACTGCTAATGAGACTCTTCATATTGGTTTTTCCAAGGCATTAATGGCTTCCCCACTCAGTAAACTTTGAAGACTAATTTTAAAAGCTAAAAGTCTTCTAGTGCTTAAGGTAAACAAATCATTCACAGTTGCTGCTTATTTATTTTACTTAACTGTTATTTACTATGAGACGGGCACTAGTGTAAGTGCTTAAAGCTGTTAACTTATTTAACTTGCTAACTTATATAGGATTTTTCTTGTCTCCCAGGATCTCTCTTGTAATGGAAATTAATTATAAATTAAATGAAAAAGAACAGAAGACAATTATATGGTTTGAAAAGAAAAAGAAAGAGAGTCACAGGCACACAGCACTGCAATTCCTCTGAGATGCCCTCCAGAACCCACAGTCCCTGCAGCCTGGCACACTTGCTGGGCTCTTCATCCAGGCTGTTAGTCAGTCTCGGGTCCGAACTGACTGCAGTTAAGTGCCCGCTGATTGCATGGCCTGATTCTCACATGGCCCGGGGTGGTGTTAGTTTTACAGGCATACGCATGTCTGCACATGATGATGTTAGCCACCACGTATACACGTGATAGCAGGCATACGCATGTCTGCACATGATGTTAGCCAACACGTATACACGTGATAGCAGGCATACGCATGTCTCCACATGATGTTAGCCACCATGTATATACATGTTAACAGGCATGTGCATGTCTCCTGGTGAGATATGTTTTAAAACCCAGCCACTTTAACATCCTTACCTATAGAGACTGTTCATCCAGCCCTCTCCACACCTACATCATAGTCTTATAAGACTTTCAGGAGTGTTGCTTTTCAGTCCTGGTAGCCCAGAATTCCAGGCCCTCTTCTTATTAGAGGAAACCAAAACCTGTTAACTCTAGCAGTCACATGTTTGTGTGAGATTCAACTATCATACTGGCCAAATCAGCCAGCTTTGACCGTTGCATTCACTTGTTTAGGTTGAAGATAATTCCAGAGGAATTAAGCTTAGCCCCAAGGAATGGGTTATTTTCCTGACTCCTAGAAGGGAGGTAGCTCTTAGCACTATGTACATTACCCCTTAGCAGCGAAGAATTCCATCAGGACACAATCAGGTTTTCCCCTTCTGCCAAGAGAGTGGTGACCATCTGTGAGCGCTGAGCGCCTGCTCTGCCAGGTGGTAGCCACACAGACGGAGTGGGGTGAAAAGGGCAAGTGTCTGCCCTCAGGCACCACTGCAGCCAAGCCTTGGGAGCCCCTCGGAGCCCCAGCTCCTAAGCTTCCCGCTCCTCTAGGAATCAGAGGATGACAATGAGCAGCTAGCTATCCACTGGATCTTCAGAAGATCTGCAGCGAAAGAGAGGTTCTGGAATCTGAAGGCTTGTTGCCTGCCCTTGGGGCCTGGCTGGCTGGAAACTTGGACTCCTGTTGACTCCTGATTTTGATGCCAGATTCCCACAGCTGCCCCCCAGAAAGAGTTTTACCCTCTAGTATTGTGTACTCCCAACCCTAAAACAGACAGGAAAAGAAAGCCTGAGCTCAGGTAAAAACAGGTCAAAACATAAGCTTTGAAAATGGTCTCTTGGGCTGGTGAGATGGCTCAGTGGTGTAAAGCACCTACTTAGAACAAGCTTAGCAAAGCACAGGGAACGCGGTTCAATCCCCAGCACCACATGCCAGCCAGCCCCCCCACCCCACCCCCCGGTGGGCTGAGCTGGCCACACACACACACACACACACACAAATAAAATTTAAAAAAAAATGGTCTCTAGGAGTGGCATCTGCTCTGCGTGAAGCATTTCCTCAACCTGAAAAAGAACTCAGCAGACACCTGTTATTATATTACAAATTTCCCAGTTTGTTATGTTCTTTTATGTTAGTACTGATGTTTACAAAGCAGTGTAAATAAAGAAAACATCCTCCAGGACTGGTGAGATGGCTCAGTAGTCTAAAGCACCTACTTAGAACAAGCTTAGCAAAGC